TGTGCACCACATTCCCTAAACAACTCATAAATGTCATGTAACATCTGCTGCTGTGGCTGTACACCATCTGTATGTGATCCGTTAAGCACAAGAAGAAATGTGCAAATTCATTCCAGTTTCATCTGAAGCAAAACACCCACAGGCTCTTAAACACATCTCTAACGATTATTTCAACTTTGATCTGCGACTCTGACCTTTGCAAGTTCACTGATCCTCTTTAACGTCCCGGTGTGATACAAGGTGATAATTTTAACTTCACTTTCACAATGGTTTAGCTTGATTTAGTTTATAACATCTCAAACATAAAATGAAATTTCAATTGTTTAAAAAAAAAGAAAACACACTGGAGTTGGAAACTTAACCATCGTCGAAAAATTCAGACTAAATGTTACGAAAATACTAGAGCATACCATTTCACTGTAAAGTTTTCACAGCGAAGAGCCCCTCTAACAACACAACATCATTTTAAGAGCTGGCCCACTTTTCAGTGTTTCAAAGAAAACAGTGTGAGAAGGAGCCAATTTTGGAATACCAATACTGAACGCAGAGTGGGGAGCCAAGCGCTATTTTCTACACCCAATTTGACAATTTTAGAGTGACCTTCCCCATTTAAACTCGAGAAGGGTAGCATGCTGCGGAGAGCGACGAGGTGAGCGGTGAAACGGAGATCACAGCGCCCAAAACCAACCCCTATGAGGTAAAAGATTCCCCTTACCAAACCCCACCCTGCAAACACTGGCCCTCTTATTAGTCAATCAAACCCTTCTTGAATCGACTTGAAAGTAGCTACATTTCCTTTCTCATTGTGTTGACTTTTGAGTGGAAAAAGAAAAAAGTCTCAGAGGTCCACTGTGTATTTGTCAACTTTGATGTTTTCTTTCTATTTTTGCGAAGCTTCAATGGGAATTTAGGAGGGAGAGTTAGCGGGAGAGTTATGCATGTCTTGAAGGGCACCCACATCTGTTGTGCATTAGGTGCCGGCCGTCAACATTGTTACTGGGGACCTAATTTAATATTTTCTCTGTTTTGATCTTCCACCTTTAATCACTGGCTCTTGGGAGGATCAGCTTTCCCCAGAAATTGTTTGAGAGCCGAAAGAAAATGTTATTGCAGCATGTTTATGGAATCATACATGGGAAGAGGCGACCTGCATAAAAATTACTGCCTATGTGATGCCGAATAGAGACAGAAAAGGATAGCTGAGCCGGGGAGACGTGGGTGAAAACCGCGACATAACTGTAAGCAGTCAGGACATTCCAAGCTCACATTTTCAATTTCGGCAAAAACGGCTTCACTGAGATGGTCGGAGATGATATCTGCAATGCGAAGGAGACAGCAGTAGGGGGGGAGGAGAGCAGGGTGCAGCCACCACAGGATAGGTTTGGGTTTCTCTTGAATAAGCAGCAGTGCCTTTATTAAACCACCATTTCTAATATCAATGTAACAGAACATAACAAAAACCTGGTTGTGCAGAGCTGCAGCAAATGGGCTCATGTTTGCCTCGGGCTGATGGCTGAAGACATCGGGTACAACTTAAATCCCTGACTCCCCTTGGGATACGTAAAGTGGTTCTTCAAGGTACCTTTGAAGAGGTTTGTTTTTGAGATATTCATGTCAGGCCAAAGAGTAGCAGTAGACGTACAAGCAACATGTACACTGCTAGATCTTGTACCGTCAACCATAGAGGATGGGTCTGTATTTCAGCGGAAAAAGATAATTTAAGATGTTTTTCATGACATTTCCTTAATCAACACAATGTCTCATAAAATGAGATCCAAAACTGTTTTCCCCAATATATTTAGTCTTATGTGAAATTCTACAAATAAATTTATATTATTACAGTATTAGAGGAGATGAAGTCTAAATTCCATTACTGACAGTGTAATAAAAAGCTAGCATTTTTCAGTGAGACCAAGGTCATTTTAACTGGCTATTACCAGAAAACTAAGAAAGGAAGAAAAGAAAACATACTTCTTCAGTTGTGTAGCTGTTCATATTTATATGGTTTCTGAAAAAATAACCACATCAACTGCTGATCCAAGCGTGTAAATTTTTTTCTGAATATCAGTTGCAGGCCTCATGTTGTGGAAAATACATATATATATTTTATGTGACACTTTTGTCCTTGAGTGATTGTTTTCATGAGAATTTGGTCAGATATGAGAATATAGACTGGGAGATTGCACACCAGCAGCTATGAAACAACATTTCTGACTTATTTCTCTCCCTATGATGCCCACACCTATCAATCTGTGCCAAGAATGTTTTATATGAAGTGGCGTATGCACTTATAATAACGGCATACTCCAACAAATACAGTTATTATAATAATAACCAGGAATTGTAAAACACAGTTGAGCACACATGTAGCAAGCCTGGACATCCCCAGATAACTTTAATGAGTGAATATTGTATCTGTAAAAGTTGTAGATTACCAAAGTATATACAGGAAAGGGCATAAAAGCATTTCATTAACATCGATGGGATATTCTTCTTCTTCTTTCAGCTGCCTTTACAAAATACCATAGCAGATAATTTGCCTCTATTTCACCCTATCCCTAGCACCCTCCTTTATCACAAAAACCCTCTGCATGTGCTCCTTCACTACATCCATGAGTCTCCTCTTAGGTGTTCCTCTCTTCCTCCTGCCTGGCACCTCCACGTTCAGCATCCTTTGCCTAGTGTATTTTCTCTTCCGACTGTGCATATACCCAAGCCATCTCAACCTTGCCTATTTAACTTTGCCTCCACACTGCTCAACCCGAGCTGCCCCTCTGATGCGTTTGTTTCTAATTTCGTCCATCCTGGTGACTCCCAGTGAAGATCTTAACATCTTCAGTTCAGCCTCCGGTCGTTTTTGTCAGTGCCACCACCTCCAAGCCATACATCATAAAAGGTCTAGTCTTGCAAACCTTCCCTTTCCCTCTTGGTGCTATCCTTCTCTCACAAATCACCCCTGACATTGCCTCAACCTTCTTCACCCTGTCTGCAAACTCTTTTTCACACCTCTTATGCATTATCCGTTGCTTTGGATGGTTGACCCCAGATATCTAAACTACTCAAACTTCAGTACCTCTGCTCCTTGCAGTTTCACTGTTACACCTGTCTCCCTCTCATTCACACAAATGTATTCTGTCTTGCTTCTACTGACTTTCATCTTCTCTCAAAGCATACCTGCACATCTCCAGGCTCTATTTCACCTGCTCCCTACTCTCAGTACAGATCCTCAAAGCCTTCAACAAACGATTAACTGGCCACTTATTGTATTAGTCAAAATCACAACAAATCTCAACGTATCATAATATTATCTATTCTATGAAAAATTTGGAACATAATTTGCATATATTCAATATAAATTTTAAAAAATCGAATCCAGTTTAAGTTCATGCTGCATTTAGCAAAGTTATAGTCTGCAAATGTTGACAGGCCCGTCTAACCACGAACAGCGCCAACACACCAAAGGAAACAGAAGTGGTAAGCATCGTATATGCACTGTATTTCACTGGCTGCTGTTGCTCCTACAAAGTAGTAGTAAGTTTAGAAGCTGCCATTAAACGTAAAGCACTTTGGCCACTGTGCTAGCAAAGTTAGCTAACGCTAGCCTGGATGAACACTCACCACTTCTTTCGCCCTCGGTGAGAAGCCACTCTTCGGTCTACTTCTCTTGAAAATTTCATCTTTGGTCGAGTCGAAGCCAATCCCTATGGCCTTGTTCCTGGTTTTGACCGTCTTAACGCTGGCTTTGAAAAGTAACGTGATATCAACAGCCATGTCTGAGCAGCTGCAGCCGACTGCTCACCGCTGTAAACAAACTGACACGTCACCCGCTGAGGACGTCATCTTCGTGGGACGCGCTGGATTTCTCCTGTAATACGGGTACGAAAGCGTTACGTTTCACCTTAAAGATTTCATCAGTATTTATTTATTATAACTAATATTCACATCATAATAATTGAATTCTGTTCCGATCGTATATTTAAAGACTGGTCGCTTAGAATCAACTCTTGTAGGGAAAATCTTAAAATATCTTTAATTAAAAAAAAAATCTATTAATATTTTAACTGAAACCTTCAGTCTGAAAGCATCAACTTGAAGCCTTTACCTGTATGTGCCAAATTTCAGCTTTGTTTTAGGCATGTTTTAGGGAGCACAGATATAACAGATAATCCATCACAGATAATCAATCTGTGTGTATCTCTTAGACAATTGCCTCTAAAGGCTCTTGAAGTGATGTCCAGCAGAATGCAGGAGAAGAGAAACACAGTCAGAGGAAAATATATCACTGGAGTATCTATAGAAGACAAGAGACAAGTCTGGGAAACGACAGTCCAAACCATAAATGCTGCCATCCCACAGGAGCAGGATTGACAAACTGGTGCGGAGGTCTAGCTCCGTGCTGGGATGTCCCCTGGAGTCTGTGGAGGTGGTTGGTGAGGGGAGGATGTTAGTAAAGCTGACATCCATCATGAACAATCCACATCACCCACTGCATGAGTATGTGAGTGGGCTGAGCAGCTCCTTTAGTCAGAGACTGAAACACCCTCGCTGCAGGAAGGAGCGCTTTCGCAGATCATTCATCCCAACAGCAGTTAGACTCTATAACTCCTCAATCACGATGTCATAAGTCACTGGACACTGTGAACATCCACGGTCACCACTTCATGCATAATGGACCTTCCATGACCTTCCAAGCTATATAGTTTATGTCTTCCATATTTCCAACTATATCCATAATCACATACTGTGTATGCTACCATTGTATATAGTGTATTATCTTACTTTTTTCATTGATTGTACTTAATTGTATTTTTGTATTTCCTTCATATATCTGTACCTGAGCTGAGGTGACGCAAAAACTTCCCTGTTGTGGGATCAATAAAGTCTTATCTTATCTTATCTTATCTTATCTTATCTTATCTTATCTTATCTTATCTTAATTGTACAGTTTCAGACTGCAACAAAAATGTCAAACGACAGAAATACACAGAGGTAAAGGTGAGGAAAATCAAGGAGTTGAAGCAAAATGTATAGGATAGTGAAAAACAAGGAAAAAGCATTTAAACATAGAGAGACAAAATAGGGAGTATGCCCTCATTAATTATTTAATAAACTCGTTATATTTATCAATAAATAATGCAAGCAATGATTCTTTGTTAACAGATAAAAGCCTGTTCATTGAGCATTTCATTACAGAGACCCGAACAGTTATTTCTGTAATGAACCTCTGAGACATGCTGCAACAAGAGAGAGAGACGACTCTTTAGCCCCACAGCTGATAGAAACTCTTAGTTTATCAAATCAGAACGAGTTTTGGGGATTATTTAATAAAAGTTTTCTGAAAGATTGCCCTCATTCATTTCAAATTTAAAATAACATTTATCGGATAAATTAATGGATAAAAGTTTTTATTCGTGCTGTGTTTGAGATGAAAATATTCCCACAATAGATGAAGGATTCCCAAACAAGAAGCAGCTGACACAGCGACAGCTCCCCACATATACGAATCTCTGCAGCATAACCAAAGATGGCATTTAGTAATGTAGCTAAATCACTGGCAGTGCAGTTGAGAACGCCACATGCTACTGACATTACCGACTCTAGTGAACATCTGGATAACATTTTACTTCTCTATCACCAGCCTACTGCACAATCAACAAATTAAACTATACAGTTTATCATTTTAAATGTGTAGTGTTTTCTGTGAAACGATAAGAAATATTTAGTCTGAAGGAAGACACTAGTTTTGTTCCACCTCACTAAGGAGGTGAAAGGTACCTCCTGACCTGGTGGACTAGGTGAGCTATAAGAATATTTATATGCCAGTGCATTTTCAAAATGCGCACATTCAACTTATTTCCGAGTTTTCTGCCACCTATGAATGCAGCCCATGTTCCTAACAATGGGCTGATTTATGCGCTGTGTGGGATGTGTTGGATGGTTTTCAATGTCTTTGTGGAGACTTGTGCTCAGAGACTGTGCAATATCTGAGCTGTGCAGTGCAGTTTTTCTACACTCCCTCTACCTGGTAGCAATGTGATGAATAAGGAAATGTTTTGATGTTTACATCACAGTGAATACTGACAGATGATGGCTGTGTGTTGGCGCTAATCAAAACTATTATTCATGCTAGAACTTCTGTCTGTTGTTCTAATGATTATATTTTGGTATTGTGTTGTAACTGCCACAATAATGAGTGATTGTCAATACAGTCTGTGTCCAAAACAAACGAACAAATAAAAAACCAGCTGATGCAGTGTGTCTATATTAAAGTACATCGGTGTAATTACTGGAGGCTAAGATACATAATAGCTTTGCTTTTCCTCCTGATTACGCAATTTGTCGTGTAAAAAGAAAATCAATGTGTTAACTCAGAGCGCTTGTTATCACTAAAAATCTCCTGAAAGAGACGGTATTTACTTTAAATTTTCCATTCAAGACTGCATTTAAGCTTGTGTTATTTCAGTTTTTGGCATGGACATGAAGTTTTAGATTTTAAAGATAATCCATGTTGCAATTACTGATCGACAATAGTTATAGTAAAAGAATGGGGGGTGGCTCTAAATTGCCTGTACATATGAACGTGAATGATTGTCTGTCTCTCCCGGTTAGCCCTGTGACAGACTGGTGACCTCTCCAGCCAGACTGTACTCTGCCTCACACCCTATGACAGCTGGGGTAGGTTCCAGCCCGTCTGTGGACTTGAATTGGATAAGCGGAAGAAATTGGATGGATGGATGTAGTACTTGAGAGCAGTATAGTGACAACAGCAATACAGTGCTTTTTGGTGAAGGGGCATAGTGTTTAGCACTGTCACATTACAGCAAGAAGAGCCTGGGTTTGAATCCACTAGCTGGCTGGAGACTTTCTATGTGGAGTTTGTATGTTCTCCCTACAGATAAACAGAAGAAGATGGATGATTAAATGGCCACATAAAGAGAATTTTATGTAATATTTAAATATTTTTGCAGGGAATGAGTTATTCCATATAAATACTGAATTTCAGCTATTTTCACATTTGGCTTTTCTTTGTAGGAGGCAAAATTTGTCTTTTTCTGTTAGAAATATAGTTTATTTGCTGAGTCACCTAATTCACTCTTAAGTGCAAATTTGGAGACTGTCAAGATTTGACATATACCAATATACATATTCATAAAACTCCAGCTTAATCTTGCCAGTATAAGTAAAGCTAGAATAATGTCCTGTCTAGACAAATGTAGCAATTTGTGTGTACTATTTCTCATAAATCTGTTTATTTGCAAGTGACTGGGATTGGCACTCAGATATGAGCAGTTGGGCTTAGTGTTGAATAAAAGTCTGTTATTTGCTATGTGGTTTGCTCATTTCCTTTGTTAGTGTTGTGCCAGACTGTTTTACAGCTGAGTGCTGCGACTGTCTCACCCTTTCTGCAGTCTCAGCATTTAAAATTCTTTTAGTTTTGACTTTAGTAAGAGTGTATGTCTTGAAACATGGAGTGCATGGGCACGCATAAAGGAATGATTTCCTTTAAGATGCTGCAAGAAATCTAACCGATCACTGAATTTTCACTACAGTACCCATCACACTATACTAAGCTAGAAGAAAAAGGTGACTGAATGAAGTTTCAGGAGCATATTTTCTTTCATAGATCCACAATGTTTTCTTTTAAGTGGAAAAAGCCATGCTTTCTGTAATTACATTTGCTCTCTACTGTAGTGGGTGTGAGCTTTCATAGAGTTTATTGATGAGCTAGCCTTTACTTAAAGGGAATATGCTAAGAATCATAAACTGGATGCAGTATATCCAGCTGTTTTTTTCTATTAGCATTCCCAGCTGTTTAGTTATCACTTCTAGCTTATTAGAGTGCCATGAAAAAGTATTTACCTCCTTTGTGAGTTCTGAGATTTGTTTTTGCATTTGTCAAACTTAGATGTTTCAGTTTCATCAAACAAATGTTAACATTTGACAAAGATAATCTAAGAAAATCCAAAATGCAGTTTTTAAATGATGATTTGTTAAGGGGAAAAAGGCTATCCAAACTTATCCTGGCCTTGTGTGAAAAAGTAATTGGCCCCTTGTTAAATTATAAATTAACTGTGATTAACCACAATTTTTTGGAAAGCAAACAAGTTCAGTTTCACTAAACACACCCAGGCTTGATTACTGCCAGACCTGTTGAATCAAGAAATCACTTAAATAAACCTGTCTGACAAAGTAAAGGTAGCTAAGAGATCTCAAAGAGCAACACATCATGCCGCAATTTAAAGTCATTGGCATCTGTCAGTCTGGAAAGTTTTACAAAGCAATTTCCAAGTCTTTGGGACTCCAGCAAACCCCAGTTAAAGCCATTATCCACAAATCAAGAAAACTTAGGACAGTGTTGAACCTTCCCAGGGGTGGCCAGCCTGCTACAATCCAAGAGCACATCAAGAGCTCATCCAGGAAAAAAACCTCACTTGCCATAGTTAAGGTCAGGGTTCAACAATAAGAAAGAGACTCGGGGGAGAAGGATGACATTCATGAGAGAATTCAAAGGCAAACACCACTGCTGGCCAAAAAGAACAAAAGCTCGTCTCACATTTGTGAAAAAGAAAAAAAAAACATCTCTAAGATTATCAAAACTTTTGGGAAAATATTCTGTGGACTGACAAAATGACTGACAAAATGTGAACTTTTTTTTGGATGGTTTAAGTGGTTTGAACACAGCATTTTATTGTAAGATCATCATCCCGTGTAGCCATGAATTCTGCTCTCTATGAGAAAATCCTGAAGGAGAGCCATCCAACCATCAGTTTGTGCCCTGAAGCTCAAACAAGCTTGTGTTGTGTTGTGTATGCAGCAGAACAATAATCAGAAAA